GATATAATCACAGAAATGACTCTGCTTATCTGGTACCAATTTTTCTGCATTCAGCTTTCCTATTGCTGGACACAATGTTCAATACCCACAGATTAAAGGAGGAAAGGTTTAATTAGTTTATTATGATGATGATGATTTGGTATTGGGGATCTAACTCAGGACTTTGTGCTTTCAAGGTGGGTGCAGTGCCACTGAGCTAAATCCCCAGCCCAAATTAGCTTATGTTTTCAGTCTATAATTGGCTTGCTCCAAGGCAGAAACATCATGAGGAAAAGACAAAGTGGAGTAAAGCTGCCTAGTTCATGGTGGCTGGGAAGCAGAGCAGGGGAGCAATACCAGAGAGAAATAGTGAGGGACCATATTTAGTACCCAAGGCCACACCTCCACGACCCACTCAGACACATGCAGGAGTGTGCTCTACTAATCTACTGTGTATTTCTTAATCCAATGAAGTTGACAAATCAGCATTAATGGTCACACTAAAAGATGTTACATAAAGGATCAAAGAAAACCTAATTATTTAGACCTTCTACTTCCAGAAATTTCTTCTAGGAAAATAAGAATTCACAAAGATCCACAAAGTAAGATGAATTGAAGCACTGTTTAGAGTTCAAAACAAGTAGAAGCTGAGCCTGGAGGCTTGTGCCTGTAATTGCAGCCACTGGGGAGGCTGAGGCAGGAGGATCATAAGGTCAAGCCCAGCCTGGGCAAAATAAAAAATAAAGTAAAATAAAAATAAAAAAGGGCTGGGGATGTAGCTCAGGTAGGGATAGAGGATTTGCCTAGCATGCAGAAGGCCCTAGGTTCAATCTCCAGTACTACAAAACAAAAACAACCAAGTAGAAACTAATTTTCCCACAATGGAAGATTGTTTTAAAACAGTGGAATATACAAAAGAGAATACAGTACAGCCATTAAAAATGATGTACTAGAATAATTTTTAAAATGTTATTACATTCTTTTTATAGTAAATACAGAAAACAAGTTATAGGACTGCAATCTATAGCATGATCTCACTTTGTGTGTATGTGATCTCATTTTTAATAAAAACATGAAAATACAAACAGACAAGGGGTAGCATCACATAGCTTATCTTTGGACTGTAGTATATGGATGGGCTTTTAAAATTTTTCACTTATCTACATTTAAAAAAATTCTCTACAGTAAGTGTATATTACCTTTACCCTAAGGAAAAGAATCTATTATAATTTTTCAACAGCTGACCTAGGAAAAAGCCTGTGGACTTGCACAGCATGGGGCGCAGAGGTAAGAAAAGAACGTGGGCCAGCCTGTGGAATCTGCTGTAGCATCAGGACTGTCCCACAGCCCAGCAAGAAGGGGCTGAGGCCAAGCATCTGCCAAAAACAAAGTGGCCCAAACTCTCCCAAGGGGCTTTGGACTTGGCAATCTGCACTGGTGAAGTGCTTGGGGTTGACTTTCCCTGGGAACAGGCGGAGGGTGGCAGTGCAGGGAGGGGGACTAGGAAGTGAGGGCTCTAGAGCGGGTGTGATGGAGAGGACGGAGTGTGGGCCCTCCTGACCACAGCTCCAGGCTCCAGCAAGGCCTGGAGACCCTGCCCCCATGTCTCCAGTGGGGCGGCTGCTCTCCCCCTGCTCTCACAATGGTTCCAGGACTGTTGCCAACCCCACTAGGGACAAGGATGGCAGCTCCAGCACGGAAACTCCCTCAGTGTGGCAGCTGCCTCCAGAGCCTGTTAAGCAGAGATCCCAGGCCAGTCCCCACCGTCTGAGTGAGGACCCTGGGGTGGGGGCCCAGGAATCGTCCTTTAACCCCCCAGGTGACTCTCCCAGGCAGTTCAGAGCTGCGGTGGGGCACACACAACAGGCCTCCTTCCCCTTGGGTTCCTTGGCACACAGTGTCACAGAGGACCGGATTCTGTTGGGAGCCTGTACATAATGCCTGCCTGCTTTTGTTCCAGAGGAAATATATCTTGGGATCCAACGTAGGACCCGGCTTTGCACTGTCCTGGGAGTATTTAGAACTGGGCAGCAGTATGCAGCCCCAGGCAGGAAAGGTGGGGCTCCCAGGAGTGGTGACTTGTTGCAAGAGGATTTCAGTCTTGCTTCTCTCATACAGCTCCCCACTTCCAGGATGCCGGGCCACAAGAACAAAGAGGCTACCTACTCACAAAGCTGAAAAACTGCAAGAAAGTGCTTAGGATCAGATCAGCCAAAGCGAGGGGGCTTTTGATGAGAAGCAGAAGCAGACCCAGGTTCACAGGGAACAGAGAGTGCTGTCATGTCTTCTTGCAGGGGATCTGGAGAAGTTACCATCCATCTCCATCCAAGTGGTGCGGAAAGGGCTGGGGATGTGGATCAGTGGCAGAGCACCGGCCTAGCGTGCACAGGCCCTGGGTCCAGCTGCCAGTGCTGAAAAAGAGGGCAAGTAAATTGTGCCAGGTTGTATTGTGCTTTCGAAAGGTCTGCTTGGCCTGTGGGAAAAGCCCTCGGGTGTCAGGCTTGGCCTCGTGTCTTGCCTTGGACACTGACACTGGGGTGGAGGTGCCTTGCTACTTCCTTGCCTGTCCATCTTCTGGTTCTGCCATCTCTCTTTTCTTTCCTTTGCCCAAAGTCCAGCACATCTCACATTGGGGCTGCTCCTCGTGTCTGGTGCAGGAGTGAAGGACACCTTGAGAACAACTGCTGTCTGACTCAAGAAGGACATGAAACAGAAGAAGAAAGATTTATGTCCTAAGAGCCTGAGACTGAAGTCACTAGTTACCACATCCTCACTGAGAGAGAGCCAATAAAGAAATAGTCTCTTAGAACTGTGAAAACATATAGCAATATGAAATAATTTTTAAAAGAACATATACCCATCCCATAGTATGCTCCTTAGCCTCAGTTGAAGTTTTAATTTTGAAGATGCCCTCAGGCACTGTGCTGAACTAGATCAGCGCATCCGAGGCCATCTTTCCCTGAGTGCCTTCCGCAGGAGCAGCCTGGCCGTGGCCAAGGACCCAGTGCCTCTGCTTGGGGAGGCAGAGGACAGGCCACTGTGGGAGCCAACGCCCGGCATAGAGCTGACCGATGGCAGTCAGTGAGATAAAGTGGAGCAGAGCTGTTCCTCAGCAGCGCTCAGCTCCTGGAAAAAGCAGCGCCAGGCCGTTTCCTCCGCAAACATCTATCCTGTGTGTTGACCACCCTGCTGCATCAAGGCTTGGCATCTGCCTTGCTCTCGGGTCTTCCTTTTCCTGAAGTCTCGGTCCTGAGCCAACTATGTGCAGCCCTCAGGGGGCCAGACTTTCTGGGAAGGAGCAGTGAACGAAGCAGGCATCAGCCTGTGCTCCTGGAGGCTCCAGGCATCGAGTGGGCACCACAGGGTGAGTCACAGCAAGCAAGCTCTGGCCTCTCCTCCTCTTCTTGTAAAGCTCTAGTGCACCATGGGAAGTCACCCTCATGACCATCAGCCTCACGACTCCAATCACAAATAATGTATACACCGTTCCATACCAGCTAACCCTAGTTACCCTGAAAGCCTCCAAATGCCATCGACAAATGACTTTCAGGATTACGGTTCCACCACTTGAACTTCTAGGAGACACATTTAAACTACAGCAGTGGGTTCACATTGTTGTGAGCTATGGCTTGTGTCTAGATCCCCCCAGCACAAGCCTCATGCGTACACAGGTGGGGCTTCTTGGAGCTGGCAGGATCTAGGGTGTGTGATACTGGGATTAAGGGTGCATGGTACTAAATGAGCCACTGATTGTTTTAGCACAGTTCTGTGAGTGGACAATGGGAAGGACCACTCTGGGTATGAGTGGCAACCAAAAGGCTTGTAGCCTGGATGGGATAAAAAGGAAAAGCAGGTGGCTGCTGCGGCTTCACTGTCTCCTGCCTACCCTGCCACAGACTGTTTCTCCCCTGCCATGCCCTCTGCTGTGCCACCCTGCCTTGGAGCCAGCTGACTAGGGACTGAAACCTCTACAGACTGTGAGTAGAAATAAACCTTATTTCCTTTAACTTGTGGGTGTTGGGTATTTTGTTTCAGCAATGAGAAAGGTAAGTAAGACATCGTACAATCAGTGTCTGGAACTTTTACATCATGCTAACCCGAAACTGTACCATTGGGCTACACCTCCCAATTCCTACCTCCTCCATTCCCTGCGAGGCACATTCTACTTTCTGTTTCTATGAATGGACTGCTTTGGATAGCTCATATAAGTGGAGCTACACAGTGTTTGTCTATCTGGACTGGTTCACTTCACTCAGCATCATGTTCCCAAGGTCTGTCCACGTTGTAATACAGGGGAGAATTTTCTTCCTTCTTAAGACTGAATAATATTCCGCTGCACACAGATACCACATTTGGCCTATCCATTCATTCTGGCTACTGTGTATCAACTGCTAAGAAGGTGAGGGACGTCAGAAGTGGTTTTCAGATTGCTGGGTGGAGGACTGGAGGAGGCAGCGGTGAGCAGAAAGAACAGGGAGGATCGAGGTGAACTCGGCTTGCATCCGGGCCCAGCGCCCGCCGTGCTCGAAGTCCTCCGGTCCGTGCTGGCCTCTCTTCTTAAGCCCAGCGCGTTCGGTTTGGGCAGACTCACTATTTGTGCGTATTTCTGTCCTGCAGACTGTGAGCTTCCCGCGGGTCTCCTGGGCAGGCTCCAGCCCTGTGCTGGTCCCTCTTCCAGAGAGGAAATGAGATGCGCACAAGCCTGTGTTCCAGCTAACCCGGCGCTCTCTCTGGGGTGTGCCTAAGTGTGTGTGTGTGTGTGTGTGTGTGTGTGTGTGTGCGCACACGTGTGCATGTTTGATTTTCTGCGCCCGTAGTGTAAGTCGGGGCGTGTATGGAGATGTGAGGCCTGGCATGAAAGCACCTCTGTTCGCGAAGCTGGTCTGAGGCCTCTTTCTTCACCCCTGGAGTGCAGGCAGGAGGTGCCGGGTGGGCCACAGGGCTCCGGAGCCCGGGGCGGGGTCTCAGGGCATTTAAGGCGCGACCCGAAAGGAGCCCCGCCCGCGCCCAGCGTCCGCACCATGCCGCGCCCCCGAGCCCCGCGCCTGCTGCTGCTGTGGCCGCTGCTGCTGCTGCTGCCACCGCCGCCCGCCGCCCCCGGGCCCCTGGCCGGCCCAGCCCACGCGAGGCTGGGGACCCTTGCACCCGCAGGCGGCACCGGGGGCCGCGGCACAGGTACGGGCAGGGGGCACCCGGGGCGGGAGGGCTCTGGGGGACTCGAACTCGGCCCCGCAGGGGAGCGAGGCCGGCCAGTCCCACCCCGAGCAGTCCGCCCGGCACCGCCCACGGCCCTCGAACCCCTCCGCCTCTGCTCCGGGCCGCGAGGCTCTCAAGCCCCTGAGCCCCCGGCCGCCCCGGGAAGCCTGGACCTGGAGGGGGTGCGGGGGGGGGCGAGGCGTGGGGTGAGGCGCGGAGGGAAACCTCCCTGCCTCAGCCTGCTCTCCCAAGCCCGCGTTCTGTTAGAGCTCAGGAGCCCGGCCCGGCTCTGCCCTCTGAGACCCCGAAGCCCCGAGACTTGGAGGCGGTGGCGAGCGGTCGTTTCCCTTCCGGTCGGCAGTTGGTTCCCGGGCAGCTCCGAGCTCCAGGGCAGCGCTCCATCCATGCGCCCACGGCTCTTCCGAGGGCCCCGCATAAAGCCCGCGGCCTGACGTCCCCAGGGGGCTCCTTCCCCACCCCTGCAGCTTTTCCTGGGGCTTCTGTGCGATTTTATCCTCACTGCGAACGTCCAGCTTCAGCCTGGCTGGGCGAGGCTGCGTCCACCCGGTTCCCAGGTCCCCCGCATGCGGCCCGCACCTGGGTGCTGGGCGCCTGGGTGCTGGACTGAGTGCTGGACTGGGTGCTGTCGCTCCCCCTGCGCCTTCCGGGCTCACAAGGGCTGGGCTTGGCCAGTAGCTGGCTGGTTGCTCCAGGCCAGGAACGGGAAGACTTTTCTAGAATTAAATCTGCTCTCCTGCCCGCCCTGGAGGGCCTGGCCTTGTGTACGGGGTGACGGTGCCCGTGCTCTCTGCTACCTGGAACCCAAACTTGGTCTCCTGTCATGAACACCGGGGCTCCGCATCCTTTCTAAATTTTCTTTCTAGTGCAAGGAATGGCTTAGCTTTGCTCTGGGCTTTTGTTTTTAGCAAAACTTAAAAAATAGTGATATTGTGCTCATGGAAAACTTAAGAGGCTAAAAATTTTCGTGTGGTAGTAGGGCTTGGACTAGAGATATGCTGTGCCGCTGAACTACATTCCTGGCCCCTGTTTATTACTTTTATTTTGAGACAAGCTAAGTTCCCAGGAGGGCCTTGAGTTAATCTCCTGCCTCAGTGTTTCAATTAGTTGCAATGATTTCTTTGCTTTTGAGAATCAAATGACTGCTGTGTACTATGTGGAAGTAAGAGGAAATCAAAAAAGGGGGAAGTAGCTCAGTGCAAAGGCCTAAGTTCAGTCCCAGTACTGCGACAATCACACCAGCATGCAATTAGTCCCCGGGCTGGGGGAGTACAAGTCACAGGGAACAGGGTGGCCAAGGAATCGCTTTCTGCCTGGTCAAGACCCCTGGACTGGTTTTCAGTTGCTATAACAACCAGCCATGGATTTAGAAGCTTAAGACAGCTCTCATCCTGGTGGTGCTTGTGGGTCAGAGCCGACCGGCCGTGGTCTCTGCAGAGTCTCGTCCTGTCCCTCCGGAGGCTGCAGAAAAAAACGCCTGCCAACTCCCCACCGTCCCAGAAGCCTTGTGCTCCAGGTGTGGCCTTATTCCTCCCTGCTCCAAGCCTGCAGCAGCAGGCTGAGTCTGCCGTCTTGACACTCAGACCCCTCTCCTGCCCTCTTCCACCCTTAGGGCCCTTTGTAGCTGTGCTGCAGCTGCCTGGATAATCTCCGTCTGTAATCCCACCTGCGAAGTCACTTTTGCCACATGCAGCAGCGTATCCAGGTTCCTGGGATTAGGACCCAGGCGTCTCCAGAGGGACTTTATCCTGCCCACCGCACACCTTGGTCCCTCTGGGACAGAGGGCTCAGTGTGAGGTGACTCGGGGCGGGGGGTGGGGTGGGGTGGGGAGGATAGATTCCCAGGAGGCCTGATTCCTGAGCACCCGGGAGACAGCGCTGCCACTTCAGGGTCTGTATCACCCTGTGTTGGGCTTTTACTCCAATTACCCAAAATACCCAGACCCCATCCAGGCAGGGTTTTCAGCAGCTCTTCTTCCTTGCTTCTGACCCATAGGAAACTCAAGGGATGAAGTAAAATTGGGCAGCTGTTTGAAAGAGGGACTTTTGATCCTTTAGACTTAGCTAAATACACAACATGGCGTATTTTGGGGCGGTGGGATGCTCAGTGGGCACATGAGATCTTGTTGATTTTTATGGTAGAAAAAGCTGCCTCAAGCAGCAGCCCCGGGGCGGGGGAAAGGCCCTGGCTGGGGCCAGGAAACCCAGGGCTGGGCACAGTCTCCTCCTGGCCCTCAGCAGTCTCACCTGTTGGCTGGGCATGAAGGGCTCCCGCACCTCCCCCTTCAGAGGGTTGTTGCTTTGGTCTCCTGTGATTCCAAAAGTGCTCGTTAGTAAAACGAAAAATCTTTTGTGTTTTCCTTCAGTAGTGGGGATTGGACCCAGGGCCTTTGCACTGAGCTACAAAACTAGTCCTTCATAAAATCATCTCTCATTTTGAGACAAGTTACTGAACTGCCAGGGCTGGCCTTGCGCTTGGCATCCTCCTGCCTCAGCCACCCAGGGTGCTGGGATTCCTGGTGTGGGCCACCTTGCCTGGCTAAATACTTCTTTCTTAATTAAATACCTCCTGGCAGTGGGATAAAGCCAAGAGGACAATTTTCAGCTTGGAAAGAAAGCGATGAAGAGCCATAATTTCTGTTCCAGATAAGGATTTTTCTTCCGTAAACGCCTTAGCCTAAGCGTTTATTTTGGATTCACCTTTTCTCCTACTGGCTGAGTAAATTGTTTTCTCAGCGTAGCATCAGCTTGTGTCCCTTTTTTCGGGAAGAAGGGCCTGGGGTGACGCTTCCTGAGGACCTGTTTTTAGTTAGGGTGCCCTGCGTGTGACGCCTGTGGGCGTGTGCGTGTTTGTCCAGAAAGGGAAATGACTTGGGAAGAAGGGTAACAGGGGTTTCTGTCTCATCTGGTCCTGGCCTGTGGACTTGATTTTGGTGGGCAGGAGAGAGGGTAGGTGAGTAGGTCTGGAAGGAACAGGAAAAAGTAGGAAGAAATAGATGAAAACTAACATTCATCGTATTACTCCTGTGCCAGGCACTGCGGTGTAAAGAGAGGTATGAGGTACGGTTGGAAATGCAGCAAAAGTCTGCATTACAAAAGCGCTAAAGTAAAAGACACATTGCCATAACCCTCTAAAACGCTCACGCTTTCTTAGAACACACTTAAACCATCGGCCTTGCCGATTTCCGAAGCAGTTCAGGAAATCCTCTAAATGTTCCCTGCAGTTTGATCACCCCCGTAAGTGCCCTGAGGTGCAAAATCTGGCTTATTTACCTCTGTAGCTCCGGGACTTCATACAAATAGATCTTCAAAAGATCTTTTGGTGGTGAATGGATGTGTGGCAGACAGGTGACAGGGACAGTAGGACAAGCGGGTAGACTCGTAGCAGCCTAAGTTGTCACCCACTCTGTCCTCAGCTAGCCTGGGTCCAGCGGTCAGGTGCAGGGTGCAGGGCTGCTCTAGGGCAGTCTCACCCTTTAGAGGGGAGGAGAGGGAGCCGTCAGGAGAGTTCGAGGTGCCTTGCCTCAAACTCTGGCCCTGCCCAGGCCTGCAGGGGAAGGCACCACTGATGCTGGCTGGACCAGGGCCTCACACACCTCCGACAGCCAAGGTTCCCAGGAGGGCTGGGTCCCAGGCAGGTTGGACCCAACCCTCCAGCAGTGGGACCGTGGTGCGAAATGTCAGGACTCTCCCAGCCTGCAGGTGAGGGATCTGGGGACACTTCCCACCTCTAGAATTCCCACCAGGGGCCTCTGAGGCCTGGGTGTTTCAAGGGCTGAAAGGAGGGCAGTCTCGGGGACTATAGGGGCAGCAGTGGCACCAGGCTTAGGGGTGCTGTCCAGCCTGTCCCTGGAATCCCAGCATGCTCTGGGAATAGCAGTTGTTCTGTTGGTGCTTCTGGCCTCAGCCTGCTTGGTCTTTTCTGCCCCCTGCGCCCTTCTTTGCAGGTGTCTGCAGGAGCAGGCCCTTGGACTTGGTATTCATCATCGACAGCTCTCGTAGCGTGCGGCCCCTGGAATTCACCAAAGTGAAAACCTTCGTCTCCCGGATCATCGACACGCTGGACATTGGGGCGGCTGCCACGCGGGTGGCAGTGGTGAACTACGCCAGCACGGTGAAGATCGAGTTCCAGCTCGGGACCCACACGGACAAGCGGGCCCTGAGGAAGGCCGTGGCGCGCATCACACCCCTGTCAACCGGCACCATGTCGGGGCTGGCCATCCAGACGGCAATGGAGGAAGCCTTCACCCTGGAGGCGGGGGCCCGGGGGCCGGCCTCCAGCATCCCTAAGGTGGCCATCATCGTGACGGATGGGCGGCCCCAGGACCAGGTGAACGAGGTGGCGGCCCGGGCCCGGGCCTCGGGCATCGAGCTCTACGCTGTGGGCGTGGACCGGGCAGACATGCAGTCCCTGAAGATGATGGCCAGCGAGCCCCTGGAGGACCACGTGTTCTACGTGGAGACCTACGGCGTCATCGAGAAGCTTTCCTCCAGGTTCCAGGAGACCTTCTGTGGTAAGCTGGTAGTCTTTGGTTCCAACTAGGAAGGGCGTCGTGTTTTGGACACTGTGTACCCAGAGAAAAAGAGATTTATTCACTCTTTGGTGGAAGTTTTATGAAAAACTTAAATACATGCCATGCTTTTTTGGCATTTTTTAAACCAACTTAAATACACAGTGGTGGCTGACAAATATAGAGCTGTATTGTATATAACTTCATTTGCTCGTAAAATCTTCATGTTTGCATTTGAAACATGGAGGTCTGGAAATACCCAGGATAAATAATCCTGCTGTTCCCTGATGGGGTGGGGAAAACCCTAAAAATGAAACAAAAAATCGACTCAAGACACCTCTCTCGTACCCCTCCCAACCACTACCTTTTCTTCCAGGTATTTTCTTTGGCTTTGCCATCTCAAGAGTTCACAGAACTATGCCCATTTTCCTGGGGAGGACAGGCAGCAGTGTTCTGGGAGGATCAGCGGACTGTATTCTGGGGTCGCTGTCAGTGGGATTTGGTGGACACTTGTCACAGATGCAGCTTTTCTGGCTATTCTTCGTGGGTAATAGGGTTAGGCACCAGGAAGACTCTTTGGTTCATTTGGCAGATACAAGGACAAGCAGATTTAAAAAAAAAGAATCGTTCTGTTGCACCCTGTCTACTTCTTTCTTTATCAGGGTCGAGTTTGAACTTTGCAATTTCTGCATGAATTGGCCACTTGTGTCAATGTACATCTACTCAGTTCTGGGCTTCGTTTTTAATCTCTGAGCAGAATTATGAATTGAGGACTTGTGCCGTATCTTTTATCATCTTGGGATCATCTTTTGAAGCCCTCAATGGAATTATCCAAACCAGTGTGGACAAAGGTCTAGTCCAGGTGGATTTCTAAACATAGATCCCTTTTGGTACCTAATTTATTCCACATTTGTTTATTCAGTACATAGGTTTTGATCACTGGTGACACAAAAATAGCCCTTCCTGATCATTCAGCAAGTACCATTCTGGGGATGAGAGTGAGACTAGCTGGCAAGCCAATGATTACCCTCAGAAATTTCCAGGAGATTAATGCATAATTAATGTAAAACCCAGCGGCCACCGTTCTGTTGGGAAAGGGGAGGTGAAGCCTTGATCTTGGGGAAAGCATGGCTTCATCTCAGCCACGCTTGGCCGGGACCCCTGTCTCCCTGTCCGGGGACACTGTACCTTCACAAGTCCTCACTAGCTCTGGTGGCATCTACTTGGCATTCACTGGTTTCCAAAGAGAAAGTGGCTTTCTTTCTCCCAGAAAGACGCCCTGGGCTTGTGGGTGAGGGCTGCTCCACCAGGGTGCCAGACTGTGGCGAGGTGGGTGTCACAGCTCGCACCTGGGGTGGGCTCAGAGGCCATAAAGTAGCAAATTGTGAGTCTTTTCCATCTGGTATAAAGGACCTGCTGTCCAGGGCAATGTCCTCTCTATATGGAAGGAGACTGAGGGCAGCTCGTTGCTGTCAGGGTTGGAAGGGCTGTGAAAAGGCCCTTCTTGGGAAAATATTAGCCTTGTCCTCTTGCCAAGGGCACAGGAGGCTGGGTTACCTGCCCCAGGAGTGCCAGCCTCCTCCAATGGGCCTGCTTGGTTTCTCAGAAATGACTAAATTCATTGATTCATCTTCCAAAATGTGTGACTGGGGGGAACATTCCAAGGAGATATAAATAGCTCTAGGAGCAAAAAGATGAAGATGCCGTTTAGCTGATATAATCTCATTTATTTTGTTCTCTCTTTTCTTTTTACCTGTTTGCATTTAACATGTGAGTTCATTGCCCTGGTAGATGATAGTGCCCAGTGTTACCTATATACCTGGGCCCTAGGGACTACGCTGAAGATTCAGGAGGTGGATTACCTGGATTGCCACATTTGCAGGTTCAAGTACATGTCCTCAGCTCAGGGACAGTGGCTCCAGGCTTAGAGGTGCGAGTCTTGCTTGGGCAGGGACCATAGCCCCCTGGGAACCAGGCTGTGGCTACACCGGGACCCCAGCTCCGTGTTCACCTGGCAAGCTGCTCTCCCCCATCTGGCTGGGAAACAAAGATCTTCTTCGGTATGGGCAATAAGTCAATGAAACATCGAGTTGCCTGTCCAACGGAAGTGTTTGGCTTCAGCATCAAATTCAAAATTCCCTTTCTTTTTTGAGAAAGTCTAGCAAGAGCTGTAATTTTAAGTCAGTAACATTTTTCGGTTTCAGTGGGACAGTGATCCCTGGGTTGTCGAACTCAATTCATTCCAAATTTGTGCTCAGACACTGAAAAGCTCAAGAACTGAATGCAATTTTCCCAGAAGAAATAATGAAAAACCAAATCATTGGTACTGAAGCCCCAAAATTACACTTATAAATTCAGTTTTCCAGGAGTTTAAGCAATTTTGCAGTGATTTATTTCTTTAATTCTGTCGTGTTTCTCACACTTTTCCTCTTAGCTTTTCCTCTGGTATCACTAACTTTCTTTGGAGCCATGGTTGCGATATTGTATGTAAATAAAGCATGAAAAACAAAACCCCGGGCAGAGTGTTTTAAGGCACTGACCCAGCACTAATGCTGTCTGGGAGGGGCGCCTGGACTGCAGCTTCACCCCTTTTTGGCTGTGGTGAGGCGGATGTGTGAGTCACTCTCGGCCTGCACGGGTTTTGTCAGGTGTGCAGTTCCACTGTCAAGCAAAGTTACGAACACCGAGCAGATGTTTTGAACTTCGCTGTTTGAATAGCAGAAAGTTCGAGGTTAGAGCTGCTGGACAACTGAGGTATCGCTGTATTTCTAGTAAGCAAAAGCAAAAGACAATAGCCAGTTTTGACAGAGAAGTAAAGACGCGATCAGAGAGGAGCCTGAGAGCAGAGTCTTCCTGACCTGGGGGAAGCCCTGGTAACTGTGGCTTCCTCGAATAGCTCTGGACCCCTGCATGCTGGGAACACATCGGTGCCAGCACGTGTGTGTCAGCGATGGGAACGGCCAGCACCACTGTGAGTGCAGCCAGGGCTATACCCTGAACACGGACCGGAGGACATGCGCAGGTGAGGCTGCAGGCACTGCTGGCCCATGTTGCATTGCCTCTGGCTGCCCTTGGTTCATTCCCGGTGCCCCTTGGAAAGGCAGGAGGGGAGAAAAGTAAGACCACACAGAAAGCCCTAGTCAGATGTCACTTACTGCCAGGGTTAAAGAAGAGTTAGCAGGAGAACAGCCAATGAGGAAGGGACCCAAAACTCTTGGTCCTTTTGAGGATTTGGCATTTTCCTTGGATTTTGTTTCATTAAATATAAGCATCTCTTTCCTCTCTGTGGCCTGACATAAGGGTGGCCCTAGCAGTGGAGGAAAATGTAGAGATGTTCACTCCCCTGGTACCCGAGTATTCATGCAGAGGCAATAAGGGATGGGATTAGCCTCTCCTCCTCCTCCTCCTCCTCCTCCTCTTCCTCCTAGAAAAGAGTTCTGAGAGGAAGCAAATGTAGAGGTCCTTTAATTTAACATATTCATTTTATAGATAATGAAACAGACTAAAAAGAAGGGGGAAACCTAGCTTACCGGCAGGGCTGTTAGCAAGAGAGCCCAGACCAGACGGGAGAGTTGGTTCCGGGCTGCACTGGCCCTGCCCAGCCCTGCCCTCTTTGCCAGCGCCGAGTGTGTGAAAAGTGTGGCCCAGGACTTCTTTGCCGCCCACCTTCCTTGGGCTCACATTTATCCCACTGCTCTGTTGACAGCTGTTGACAGGTGTGCTCTTAACACTCACGGATGTGAGCACATTTGTGTGAATGACAGAATGGGCTCTCACCACTGTGAGTGCCATGACGGTTACACCTTGAACGAAGACAGGAAGACGTGTTCAGGTAAGTGAGGGAGGAGTCAGGCTGCAGGTGCTTTGCCTCTGTCTGCCTGCCTACCTGTGTGGTTCTCATGCACCGAGAACTTGGTCCGTTTTCTTCTCTTGCCACCCTGGGGTTTCCCATTTCTAAGTTAAAAAAAAAAAGAGAGAAAAGTTGGGAATGTTTGTGTGTATGTAGCACACGTGTCAATGTGTGCCTCGTTTCCTCTCTGTACTCAGCCCTCAGGCCTGGCAAATACTGACTTCCCCAAGGACAGGACGACACATGTGTGGTGTTCTTGCTAAAAACTAGGAATCACGAGGAAACATCAGACAAACCCAACCGAAGAGTCATTTCTCGTTCAGGAAATAATTGCCAGTATTTAAAAACGTGTCAGTTATAAAAGACAAGGACAGACTGAGAACGTGTCCTAGATCGCAGGAGACTCAGATGTGGCAACTAATGCAGTGTGGGACCCTGGACAAGAAAAGGGGCATCAGTGGAACAGCTGGCAAAGTTTGAATAAAGTGTGCAGATTAGTAAATCATATTGTGCTATTGCGATGATCTTACCAGGGTTAAGTAAGTTGCTAACATTTGAGGAAGCAGGGTGAAATAAGGAGGTCCCGTTTCGCACTGTTTTCGTGATTTTTTTCAAAAGTCTGAAATTATCTCTAAAAGTTTAAAAATTAAAAAAAGCAGTCCACAAATATATCTGTACAGGGAAAAGTTCATTGAAGGAAAATTTGGGTCTTGAACTCTGATGCTGCCCTGAGTCAATTCATCTCACTGGGGCTCATTTTCCTCACTTAAAAAACAGGAGAGGATTCATCTACAATTTCTTCAAACTCTAACTCTGTTTTTCCAAATCTAGTGCAATTAGATACAAAACTGTTGGTATTTCTCCAAGTTAGGATAAATATAATAAAGCTAAAAGAAATGCTTTAGAAAGTATTTATGAAATTCTTAGATTATAAAACCTCAGACTGATGATTCTGTGAAGGAATTGGAGAAGGGTGGAAAATAGTGACTGTGCAGGATTTTGTCTCATCCACCTAACTTCCACTTACAGCAAATCATGCTGAAGGCTTCTGAGTAACATCGATAAGTTTTCCTCTTATTTCTACCTTCAAGTAAGATTCCATTTTGAAATGTATGGGTGATAAAAGACTTCCAGTTTTCATTTCTGTTGTGGGACTTTTGTCTGACAGCTCAAGACAAATGCGTTTCCGGCGCCCACGGCTGTCAGCACCTGTGTGTGAATGACGGGCCTGGGTCTCATCACTGTGAATGCTTCGAGGGCTACGCCCTGAATGCAGATAAGAAAACGTGTTCAGGTAAGAGCTACTCAGCACATTCTTCCCTACTTGGCTTCTGTGGCAGTGAAATCAACAGGCAAGTGTGGAGGAGAGAGGCAATTTAAAGATTCGAGGTTCAAACCTTCCGCCATGCTTCCAGGCTAAGCTAGCGTTGGTTGCTCGGCAGGTGCTGAGCTCTCTGGCTTTTGCAAAGATAGATCGCTGCAGAAGAAAACTGTTAGGAAAGGGGTAGGGAGTGGGGGCCATGAGAAAAGCTAATTAAATGTGAGGTCCTTATCCAGGAAAATGTTATTAGCCCTGGACACTAGGGACTTTTAAAGCAAATGGGAGACTTTAGAGGAAGTCAGTTGGACAGTAACTATTTGATGTGATAGGCTGAACTGATCTTTTTCCAGTTAAAATTTGGCCTGGAGCTTTCTGTAGCATTCGCCTTATGAAGCTGGGTCATTCAGTAAAGGAGACCTTGTGAGTGCCTGAATTAGACCCATGCAGCTCTTCCAGGAAGCCTGTGGCAGGACGCCCCCGACAGTGCCTAGCTGATCGGTCTGCAGAGAATCTGAGCCTTGTGGTGTGGCTCTGGAGTCCTGGCAGGATTGCCGAGCCTCATTAAGTTGATTTAAATGCCCTGGCAGAACAGGGCGGCATTTATAAACGTAACAGCACTCCTAAAGGAGAGGATCCCTAGCTCTTTTTAAAAATTTTTAAAAATTTTTAAATTTTTA